GCATGTTCTAGATTCCCGGTGAAACGTGGCGATCAATGATATTGATTCTGCGTCAGACTTCCTGAAGTTCTTCCTTCGGTAGGACTGCTTCACGTTTCTTGGCCGTGATTGATGACACAAGTCTTCCTTGTGGCCGCGTTTATGGCACTTATCATAAATGTAACGCTTCAATGGACAGCATCGTGCAAAATGACATTCACCACATGACCAACAAAGTGTAGACAGCTTGTTCGGCGCTTTGCTGAACGGCTTGTTCGAGCCAGCCTTTCTTGCTTTTTGCACAGCATGAACAGTATCGGCAATGGTAGGGCGACTCTGCTCAATCATAGCGGTGTCGTGTTTCAAGGTAATCAACCGTTTGCATTCCCCTACAAGAGACTTCAATGTCAAAGCTGAATCTTGATCCAACTTAGCAAGGAACCGAGTGTGGATTTCCGCATCGCGTGGAAACTGTAAAGCACTGACAAATATGAGACACTTAAACTGGTCATCCGTCAAACAGCAAAACTGGAAGTGTTCACATTCGCGGCTAATCATGTCTGGTAGTGCCCTATAATCGTCTGTATAACGCTCAACAATTTTTAGACATTGGTGGCGAATGCTACACAAAGACGTTGACGCACCAAAAATTTCTTTGAGTGTTGCCACTGCTTCGTTGAAAGTGATGTCCTTCGGCTCTTTGGGCAGGATGTGGTAAATGAATCTTGTATGTTTATTGGTACCAAGCTTGCGGAGCAAAAGACGCACTTTGCATGAATCATTTTGACGGCTGAAATCCGTCCGGAACATGTCCTCCCAGCGTTTGAACCACGCCTCGAAAGTGCATTCGGAATCAGCACCAAAATGAAATTGGTTGATTACATTTGTAAGAACATCAAGGGAAACAGCCTGCGTGTTCCGTGTAGCTGCTCCGTATGACTGTACGTTCAAGCACTGCGTCAAACGTTCAATCAGTTTCATTTGTGCTTCCATCTGGGATTGTTGCTAAAAAGCACCTTAGGGAATGTTTGGCGGAAAAGTTTGTAACATTTTGGTGCTTGTCCGTCGCCATTGTTAGATGTTCACGTTTTCTCGATATTTCGAATTAAACAACCAAAAATTTCTCCGCAAAGTTCTAGACCGGCCGAATAAAAATCAAAAGTCCGACTTTGACCACGAAAAACGTGTTATCAAAAACGCTGCCAAAGTAGGCAAAAATGCCGCCAAAAACACTGTACCATTACGCCAGACCGACGTCAAATATATAGGGGGCTCAATGACCTTCGGCTTCTAGAAACCGAAGGTCAACCGGTAAAAGTAGTAGCGTCCCTGCTAAAACTCCGTATGCTGGCGATCACGTGAAAGAATGGAAGGTTCCAGAATCTTCGAAATCAATGCACGATCGAAGATAATCGATTAATTGCTAAAATAATGGTTTTCCTTTACGTTTTCACCTTTTCCCGGATAGGTTCGGTCACCGGTGGATCGGTCGCAGGGGTCCAAAGGGTTGGCCCGCCTGTTCACCAGATTTGAACCTTTTACCTTTCTTCCTATGAGGTTATTTTAAAAGAAGTGCTTACAAGGAAACACCCATTTCACTGGAACAACTGAAAGGCAGTATTGTCCACGAATGTCGCACCATCAACAAGGAGATTTTGCAAAAGTTTCCGCCTATTACCTCAGGCGATTTCCGCAGTGCAATCAGAACGCCGGCGGGCACGTTGAGCACGTTCGTCGTTGACGGACTTATCACCGTTTTATGCTGTTTATGTTATGATACGTATTCGCCGTTATCACTGATTTCTGGACTACACTGGTGCACGGGCAAATGGTGCCAAAGGTGCGTCGGGCCAGAATGAAATCCACGGGCGAAGCTGATTCGACAATGCTTAGACTGAACACTTCTATGCAACTTGGTTCACAATGGTGATACTTGCTTTTAATGATTATGCCTAAGGAATACGCGGAGGATTTGACGGAGATGGTGATGTGAGAATAGGCTACGCCGTTTCGTATTTGTATTCTGTTCTTCGGCGTATAGACTCTGGCTTGGGATAAGTGCTTCCAAACAATAACGACTTTTACATTAACGGAATTCATAAACTGAGGGCAAACAACCAGCTGCGCCGAGTTCTACAAAACCGACTCCAACGAGTACGCTTAAATCATCCACTTTTATGTATCGATCTCTACATCCGACGCATAGTGAAACGTGTGTACCTCCTTCGACCAGCAACACATAATTTAAAGGTCCCGAACCCTTCTAGTACACTTATAAGCTTACGCAGATGATGCTTAGTATCGGATAACGCAGTTTCAGTATTGTTGTTACAACACTGCCCACGTGCTTATGCGTACTGACGTTTCCAATGATCTCTTTCAGCTTCTGCAAGAATTATAGCAACCGGCTCCACCGCATTTCGGTGTTCGGATGAAATAAATTGGACGGATTATAAATCGATAAGAATAGGTAAACCACACAGTTTGCTTACTACGCACTGAAGAAGTCATGTCGATTGGTGACGAAACGTTTGCAACGAAATTGTTCACCTAGGAGAACAGAACAAAATCGGACAAAGGGGGGAGAAAGATGGTCCAACAACTTTTCAACGAGAATACAGACAGTGAATGAGTGGCTTCGTGATCCCTTTGTGTTTGCTATTCGGAGTTTGCAGCATAATGTATAAGAAACTTTATCACAGGGATTACAGGCTTGTGGTGCACAGAAAGCGTGTGAACCCACATGCGTGTGCTGTGGTTCCCCGATTTGTCATTTATTTTTTCGAGCCAATGATCTTCGTGCTTTGTACATTACATGATTCTCAGTATCCGCGAAGAATATATATTGCTTAGAAATGCAGTTTCTCAGTTCCGTGCTAATGGTATCTTGACTCATCAGTGAATAACGCGGAATGAACGCCCATGGTCCGTCTTGAAATAAATTGGGCAGCCTAACCACACTTGTTCCCTGCAATGGCGATCGATACTGCGACGGGAGAATAGGCTATGCGGCAGTGAGTAGTCTCTAGGCGGTATAGCTTTTCCAGACTTCTTCCTCAAAACGGCAGATTTCATAATTGCAAGGCCTAATTGTAAGGAATGCCCATTTTGCTAAGGTAGGTTGTGGGAAGGTAACTTTCAGTCTACAAGAGCGTTGCCAATAACGCTTTTGCCATTAGCTGGGATAACACAAAGCACCTATTGCACACTCCTTGCTCAGGCCAGTTACACCCGTCCAAGCGCAACCACAATTTTCTACCGCAGTAGCCCAGTAATGAAGCACTGCTGTTTCGATTTTGCATGCCTCACTCCAGCTCAACACACCGTATGTATCGACCGGTGCATTTGCCCTGTGGCGTGCCGTTGGTTGACTCCAACTCAACCATATGCGCCTGATACAGCATTTTTACGATGGACGACACTGGCAAGTACACATGTACCTACATGCATGAATACGGTCGTTCTACACGCATGTGACAGGATGAGACATCTTGAGATAGACCAACATCTACTGTTGGACAGTTAGCAATGTAGTGCGCTCTAACTCACACTCGAAGTAGTGACCCTTTGTCCCGTATTAACAGATTAGAGGAACCAGACTTTCGGGACATAGAGTACAGTTTGGATGCAGTGTTAAGTGCGGACGGGTGCCTAATGAAGCAGATTTGTTTTTAGTTCAGAAAGGTTTGGAAACAATCAGTTGGTATAGTAGTTTGGTAACACTTCGACCTCGATAGTAGGGCTTCGTCAGACCAGGTGAATCAGTGTGCAATTGGTGTGGGATTTTATTGCAAACAGGAGCGACAACCGCGTTACCCAAGACTTGAGTCATGATGTCATTACAGTAACAGTTCGTGATGTCACCTCAGGTGGTTCAATCACAGTGAGAATAGTCCAGGTGTTGCTTTGTGCCCCATGACATTGACGGATAAGCCAATAGTGTTGACAATGGGAGTCGGTTTGCACTTTCCAATCTGATCCATGCACCGGTGCTCGTCAGGCTGGCAGGCTTAAGACCACCCGCCACGTATTAGGTAGTTCTAGGCCCTCTATTCTATTCACGCAGTCATCAGATTTGGCAATTTCCACCGCCTCGGCAACCAACCGTTGAGGGGTTGATCGTATACCCCTCTACGTTTTTGAGGTCTATCTGGTGACCGGTGTCTAATGCATGCACAGCTACGGCCGAGTCTCTTACTATTGTCTGGTATTCGAACTTGTTTCTTGGTGGTTTTGAAATGCGCCTCCTGTGCTCCGAAATTCGTGTGCGAAATTCTCTCGCTGTTTGGCCTATGTACACATGTGCACAGACCCTACATTTAATTTTATAAACACAGTTAGTCGTCCTATCCTTGGGTAGGGGGTCCTTTAGGTGTACCAGCGCCAAACTTAACGTTCGACCTCGCTGAAAGATCACCCTTATATTTTCCTTGTTTAATACCTACCGAATTACCTCCGAAGTGCCTCCCTTGTGAGGAATTCCGACCGTTCCTATCCACTCGGCTGTGAGTCTTGACTGCCGATGTAGCAATTTATGCAATTGCCGATGATGATGATGACGATGGTGATGATGATGAGTAGGAGGAGGAGGAGGATGGGGGCATCAGCAGTACGCCGGCACATCGCACCGAGCTTTGCTGGTGTGCGACCACCACCAGTCGCGTAAGGGCAGGTCATACCTCGAGGTCACCCGCGCATACGCGATTCATAGCCATGAATTATCATGGTCATCAATACAGGTTAGCCGAGGGTGATAGACACACATCAAATGATGTGCCGCAATACAAAAAGTAAGACATCAAGCAATGCAGACTTAAAAGCCATAAAAAGTGACATAATGTTACTATCCCGTTTGATGGTTGTTGGAGGGGAAGCTAAATGGAAGGGGAGGGACAAGGAGAGTCAAAAGATAAACGCTACTGTGGTCAACTCTTCGCCGTGTCAGCTAGTGTACGTACGTAGCCATGAATGATGGTCATCTAAGATAAATAAGGCGAAACCAAAAGAGGAAGGAAACTAACTTTGAGAACTTCTATTACGCGCTTAAATTCATCAGATATGTCCAATTTGTGGGCGTCAAAAAGCAGAATGATTCGATCCACACGTTCGGAGAACCACTCAATCACTCCAGAAAAGTCGTAACCTCGATCGATTCTTTGCTTCTCGCCACTGAGTATTCCTGGTGTGTCGATAAAGGTGATGCTCTCAAGTACCTCGTTCTTCATGTGAGAGCATTGAAAACGATTAAGAAAATTGTTCCCGAATCGGCTCATCGGGCGAAATTGCTTTTTATGATCCATTACTAAAGCGTTTCCTGGGATAATGCCTTCTCTTTCGTTGTACATGACAGCAATGAAGCTGTCAGTTGTTGGCTCCGGACCGATACGTATGCCGGGAAAGTCTTGGCCCAGAAGATAACGAATGAAGGTAGTTTTCCCAGTAGAATATTGTCCGATCAACAAAACCATGGGTTTGCAGTCAAAGTCGCCTTGCTCCAGAGCAGGGGAATGAAAATCATGAAATTTGTATGCCTGTTCGAGAGGAAGCAACTTCTGGGTGTATAGTCGACTCAGACCCTCGATCACATTGGAGTACGCTTCTTGGTCTTTGGGTTTGTTGGCTTTGAAAATGTTCATGTTACAAAAGTGCAGAATTTGAAGGCTGAAATGTGTAACAAACGTGTTGTAGTGGGGAGGAATTGATCGAATGTTTTTGTAAATAGTCGTAGTTAAATAGGCTTAGTTGCTCGGAAATGTATGTAATCAATTTAATCAAAAAGCATACGAGCAAAGATGTTGTTAGCTGTTTGTTTAGCTTATCGGTTTTGATCTGCGCACTGAGGTGCAGTGGATCTGGATGATTTGATTCGTTACCGAATAATAATAATAATAATAATAATAATAATAGGAATAACTCAAAAGGAATGGACAAAAAGCAAAGCTGGTAAATTGAACAGTTAAAAGATGGTGCAGATGGAACAAGAGCAAGGACGCCACTGACTCCATAGCAGTACTATGCCCGAGAGTATACCGCACAGACGATGTAGCCGACTCGGAGGATCTAACTCAAGGATACAGGCAACAGAAGTACGTCGGTTCGCAGTAGTGACGCTTTGCTGCCGCGCAACAACCAACAGTCGAGCGCTGGCTGAGTATACCGCGAGGACGCCCATCACTACGCGGATTCGAACCGGTGACCATATGATTGCATGCCAGGCGTGCACATCACTCGGTCACCGGCCAAGCGTTGCATAACACTCTCCTCAGACGGGGTAGCTCTTTTATCGCCATATTAACGGCGTGCTGACATTGTGCTGAGAGTTGCAAGTTATTCGTCACAATTATACTCATTTCAGTTCAGCTGAACAACTATGATTCGAGCACCGAAGTGCGGTGGACGCAGTTGCCGCAATTCACACCGTAGGATAGTGGGGTTGAGTGCAAATAGAATGTAGAGAAAATGAAAGTAAGAAAGAAATGCGTAAGACTAATCAGAAAAGGACGAAAATTAACAACCAGATGAAATAAGCCGAATACATGAGCATCACTGACTTCGTGAATGCGCCAGGTCTGACATGGTCATCAACCATTGGTGGGGACCATCCTGAGGTCCCCATCTAGGAAGACGTCACGCACTAGCCAGAACGTCTCTTCAAGCATCTATGCCATGTCATGGACTGATCATCTCCCAACTTGGTGCATCCACGGCGTATAATGCATATCGAGGAAGCCGATCAACTAGTATGGGGAGAAAATGGCCAAGCCAACGCAAGCGACTAAGATTTATCAAACTCTCGAGAGGGGTACCAGAAGGCTTCTTGTCAAAAACCAACTGGCGGACCCCAGCTTTGCTTACCCGGTATTCCCATCAAACGTGAGCAATACTTCAAAAGCACTGGTGGTCAAACAAGGCCAACCATTTGATGTCTTCACTGAGAACTGGTCAGGTCTCTGATCCATACAGTAACACAGGCTTTACCGTAGCGTTATACACTCTAGTTTTCACTGGCATGCTGATATCCCGCCGTCTCCAAAGATGGTTGAGTCTCTGGAAAACCACACGCAGCTTGCTGATACGTGAAGTAACTTCCTCAATAATGTGACCACCAGAGGTGACACAGCTAACAACGTAAGCGAATCGATCCACCACTGCCAGTGGCTGTTCGGAAACAGCTAAAACAGGTGTGTCAGCCAGTGCTGCAAAAGCACTTTGAAGGTGTGAAGTACATGCGAAGCATGCAGCGCTATGCACAGGTCTGTGCAGAAAGAAGAAGGGCATTAGTAGTACGCCGGGCCGACGCTTCGCTGTCGCGCAACCACCACGGGTCGCACGCGGGCTAAGGATACTAAAAGGGTCGCCCTGCCCCTACACTATCTCGAACCTGCGCCGTCAGATTACAAGACAAACTCGTTACCTTTAGACTACGAGCCGGCTGTGCAGTAGTGTTTGCGTAACCAATGCATCAGACCCAAGGAGAAGTATGCCGATCGCATACTCCAGGTTTGTCAGTCTGTCACTTGGTACGACTTCCAATCCAGATTAGTCTGAAATAACCGAGTCATTCATGATCATTTCGATCACAAAGTTGGAAAGGAAAGGAGATATAGGACAACCCTGGCGAAGCTCACTTGTCGTGGTGAACTAAGGAGAGAATTTCCCGCAGACCCTTACACGACCTCGCGAATCCCGATAGAAGGGCTTCAGAATGAAAAAGAGTTTAGCAGGCAGGCCCTTCAAGGATAGGCAATGCCACAACCAGGTGAGGTCAACAGAGTCGGAGGCGGCTTTCAAGTCAAAGAAAACCACCACTGTCGGTCGTCTGTATGTGTGGTTCTGTTCTAAAACTTAGCGAAAAGTAAATATGTGATAGATGCAACGACGACCGGGGCAGAAATCAGCCTGACTTTCAGTGATCCAGTCATCACAAGGACCAGTAAGTCGTCGAAGAATGATACCTAGGAGAAGCTTTGAGGCAATGGAAATAAGGCTAATGCCTCGATGATTTTCGCACAAAGTTCGCTGACCCCTCTTGAAGATGGGCATGACAGTTGATGGTCGCCAGTCTGAAGGCAGTTTTTCAGTGTAACAAACCGTGTTAAAAAGAAAGCAAGCCCAGTCAACAAAGAGTCACCGCCATCCTTCCACAAAGATGAAGGTCGTCGGGTCCCGGAGGGTTGTTTCGTTTTAACACGGCGAGATCATAACGAATCTCTTTCTAAGTGGGAATTGTGACATCTACTTCCCACGTAGGCTCAGGTGATTCGGACAGCGACAGTGTCGTAGCAACCCTGCTGAACTGCTCCTCAAAATGTTCCGCCCAACGGGTTGGTCGAGGATGCTGAGAATTGATCAATAGTCCATCTTTCTCGGCTATTGTCTCGCTAACTGTTGGCTTTCTCGGAGCCGTGTTGCGGATGAGCTGGAATAACACATGAATGTTTCCAAAACACTAAAAGACAGGCACTTCTTTGAAATGGGAAAATTGAGTGCCAAGGGTGCCCGCACTAAAGCAGGGTCGAAATCCATAGTGCTCCAAATGGACCGACAGTTTTGGACTGATGTGCGCAACGTGCAGCTGATGGTAATATGGTCAATTTGGGTGCAGTACATTAAGGAATTCCGACGTAACAAGACTGGACCTTAACGTGGTGCGACAGTTTGCGTACCTTGACCTATTGTGCGATACTCGGTGGTGCGCCCGGACCCCTTGAGAGCTACTCCTATTAGGTTGGTCAATGGTTAGAGGTCAGACAAACTCAGTCTCCTGGTCATCCAGGTTGGGGAGTACAAAAAGGGGTGGCGTCCATTTCTGTAAAACTAAATCACTGCCACCTTCCCGCTGTCTTGCGGACAGGCATTTAAGCCAAAACCTCTGAGAGAGGACCCTGATGATCTTCTTGTCTGGGTCTGGCCGTCCTGGCAGTATCTCAGCCCACACACAACCATGAGTATTTCCTCAAACGTTACTTACATTCTGCATGGACCGTCCTGCAGCTCCTCAAGGGCGCCTCAGCTGTTGCAAACAGCAGGGCGTATAAGCGAAAACATGATACTGCTGGCGCCTCCTTTCTTTTCCACCTGTTTCTCTTACTCCTCTCCAAACTCCCATAACCAACCTTTCGTCTATAATTCCAAGCCTAATTGACAGCAACAGAAGTCCCACTTGAGTAGAACCATCTGCAGCCACCTCCCCATAACACCCATCGGATGCCTATCGGCAAAAGTCCCTTATAAGACCACGCTGTCCCGTTTCCCAGGCGGCGTTCAATGTTCGCACTAAGATAAATAGGTCAACAGACTGCACTCGCACGCACGTTAGACACGCTGGGTATTGATGTGTGTTGCGTATCAGAAAGTAGGATCACTGAACCTAACAGGGTTGTTGAAGTAAATGCGCGCGGCTTGTCCTCTCGCTATTGGTTGCACGCAGGAGCAGCAGCACTCACGTGTCAAGATGGGGTAAGTATCATTATCAGCTCCAAGACTGAGCCATTGTTGGTTGATTGAATTCCAGTGAGCGGTCGTTTGTGTGCAATCCGTTTGACGACATCGACCAAAGTTGATTCATATAGTACATAACACTTTGTTTGTGGATTTCGCATACGCTCCCACCGATATCAGTTCTGATGTTGCCAAGGACACATTCTATCACGAACTGAATATGCTAATACGCAGTGATACTAGTTAATATAGTACAGTACTTGCAGGGGATATGAATTCACAAGTAGAACGCCGTGGCTCTACAGAAACTCAACTAGGTAGCAAATAGGGGCTTAACTCCGACAGTAGGGACAACGGCGAGCGTCTGCTGCAACTGCGTGCGGAGCACCAGTTGTTTCTTAGTAGTACTGCTTTTAGACACAGTGGGCGCCGAAGTGCCACTTGGCATCCTGCTGTAGTTGGCCAGCGATAGACCCAAATGTATGTATGTATGTAATCTCAACAGTCTAGTAACTAGACATAGAGCCAACAAAGCCATGGAAATCAGTGGATAAGAGACAGTCATTGCGTCATAATCGTCGTGGCATGCAAGTTGAAGGTGGGCAACAAACTTCAGCTAATATGCCGCAAGAAAATGGAATATTTTGACAAAAATACAGAACAAAACATTTTTAGTTTGTTTGTCACACGCCGATTTTTCTCTTTTTTGTCATTTTCAATATTAGTAAAATTAAACATATGAATCAATACAACACTGTACACAATTCTTCCACTGATTCCGGTTGCGGGCCATGTCTTCAAGAGTCCTAAGCCATTGGCACTCCTCATCTTTGGGTCCCCATCCTGGAAGACGTACGGGTCCAACAGCGGCTAGACGCGACGTCAGCGATTTCATGTGCTGCCGCCAAGTGGAAGGCTGACCACCATGCGGTCGCTTCCAGCCAGGCCCTTGACGAGCGAACAGAGCGCGACGCGGTAGACGCTCAGGTGCCATGCGTAGGACATGACCGAGCCATCTTAACTGGCGCAACAAAATCAGTTTGTTGAAGGAAATACTTGCATTCCCCAAGATGCGACGTCGAACGTCATTACTGGTAACTCGATGTTGCCACCGAACACGAGCGATCCTCCTTAAGCAACCGTTATCGAACGCAGAAAGACGACGCATGTCTTCCACGCGAATCGGCCAGGACTCGCTCACATACAACAATACTGACCGAA